TCTGTCTGTCTGTCTGTCTGTCTGTCTATCTATCTATCTATCTATCTGCCTACCTATCTATCTGTCTGTCTGTCTGTCTGTCTGTCTGTCTATCTATCTGTCTATCTATCTATCTGCCTACCTATCTATCTATCTGTCTGTCTGTCTGTCTGTCTGTCTATCTCCCGACAGGTGAGTAGGCGGAGCTTCACATAGGTTTCTGAACATGTTGTTAGTAAAAGCGATTCTCTACACCTGTGTTTCCTTTGCTGAACACCTGTGTGAATGTGAGGAGAACTGACTTGATACTTGATCTGATGAAGGACAGCAGATGTCTGTATAATAAGTGTTTTCTCAGCACTTTGGCCTGATTTAAACTCAAGGACGACCCTGAATGCAACACATACTTGTCTTTAGTTGCCCCAGTGAACATTAGAGCTGATAAACACACCCGACCCTCCTAACGTGATCGTGTCTTCTGCTCCAGCGGGGAGGATGAGGATGTGTCATAAAGAGATGTTTCCACTTGCCATTTCAACATAAATATGATTTACAACAAGATGAGCAGCAAACAAACAGAGAAACGCTCTGTCCTCTTTTCACAAACACTGAACTCCAGCACATCTGCTGCTAATAACATCCAAAGAACATCAGAGTCCAGAAACCAGGTCCTGAACACACACACACACACACTCACAGAAACAAACACACTCACACACACACACACACACGCAGGCTTCGACCGGATTCTAAGAGGAAACAGCTTCACAAAATGCAGAGAAACGGCCTTCAGAACCACAAACTACAGTCAGAGGAGTTATTATTGATGTGTATGTCTGTGGTTTGAGTCTGTGATGTTTTATAAATCTGTGCATCACATCTTTGAAGCGAACACTAAGTGCGTCTCACCTCTCTCACACTGAGCTCCAGTGAAGCCGTAGTTACACAGGCAGCGGTTTGGAGCGACGCATCGGCCTCCGTTCAGACAGCCGGACTCACACACCGCTACAGGAGGAGACAGAGACACGGTTACGGTCTGCCGCGTGTGCATCCGTGTGTGTGCTGCAGGGATGCAGGTGTCTTACGCTGGCCGCAGTGAGCTCCGCTGAATCCGTTCTGACACAGACACTGGTCCTCCGCACACGACCCGCCGTTCATGCAGCGGATGTTACAGTTCTGGACTGAAGACAAACATCAGACACGTTATTTCCCATATTTCTGTTGTTTTAAATATAATGAAGAATCAAAATGTTCTTGATATTTACGCATGAGAGGTTACACTACAATAAAAACATACTGCAAGTTTCTGAACTCAGAACTAACTAAAATATGAATTATACAGACATGCTGTAAAGAAGGGCGTGGCTACAGTGTGATGAAGTTAGCCAATCACGGCAGTCGGTGTTAAAAGTAATGCATTACAATATTACATTACTCCATAAAAAAGTAACTAATTGTGTTACTTAGTTACTTTTTATGGAAAGTAGTGTGTTACGTTACTTTTGCGGTACTTTATGTCACCTGAGCTGGGCTTGCTGAGCTGTCGGTCAATAAATGGGAAAATAAAGTAACTTACATTACTTATTTGAAAATGTAACTCAGATATTTTGTTGTAAATTTAAAAGTAATGCGTTACTTGGAAAAAAGTATTTGATTACGTGACTCGTGTCACACTGACAGCAGTCGGCGTTTACTTCCGTTTCTGCAAGAGGAAACATGCATTGAAATTGAGTGCGTTTTACAGAGAGTGAAAATGAGGAAGGAAAAACTATAATTTTTATAAACATTGGACCTTTTTTTTTTGCAAAAAGCCTCAAGAAACATAATATGAAAATCAGAAACTGCATTTCATGATCCCTCTAATATCAAGGCAATTACAGACCAACACAAAGTAAAGTAAAACACTCACAGACACACACACACACACACACACACACACACATACTCACACACACACACACACTTACTCACTCACTCACTCACTCACACACAC